CCCAGACAACCAAAAATCGCATTACAACAAAGATATTTGTATCAGAATATTTATTGCAGCCCAATTCATAATTGCCAGGTCATAGAAGAAGCCCAAGTGCCCATCGATCCACGAATGGATCAACAAACAGTGGTATATGTACACCATGGAATACTATGCAGCCATTAAAAAAGATGGAGACTTTATGTCCTTCATGTTCACATGGATGGAGGAAAAAGTATCCAATGTACACACCCCTATTATGAAACTAATTTATACCTTTTATATGAAAGCTATAACGTAATTAACAACCTAAGGATACAGAGAAGGGGGAGGGAGGGGGGAATGGGTGGAGGGAGGGGAATTCGAGGGTTCACTTCTGTGGTTCATCTTACAAGGGTACAAGTGAATCTTTCTATGAGTAGAATATGAATGTTTTAACACAATAACTAAGAAAATTACGTGAAGGCTATGTTAATCAGTTTCATGGAAGTGTTTCGGATTGTTTGTGAAAACCCTACACTGTACCCCAGAAGTACATTAATGTACACAGTTACTATTCAATTTAAAAAAAAAGTAAATTAGGTTAACTTAAGGATGGGGTCTATTATGGAGGTTTAACTGTGTAATAAAAGCATTTTTATCTGACTACATAACATAGAACAGATTTATGCCACCAAAAACAAACTCCCTAACCATATGAATATGGTTAAAATTGCTCAACTACACTTACAGACGATTAAGATGGTAAACTCTACATGTTTTTGGTGACAATTTGAAGAATTCCTCACCTTCAACATCTTCTAATAGCTCCCCATTTATTGCCTGTTTTGTAGCCACCTTGCCTTCTATTAGTTTCTTCAGTGCCGTAATTGCTCTAACAAATGGGCATTTCATGAAAGAAGTTTGTTGTTTGTTTGTTTGTTTTGTTTTTTTGTTTTTTGTTTTTGGCCGGGACTGGGTTTGAACCCACCACCTCCAGCATATGGGGTCAGCACCCTACTCCTTTGAGCCACAGGCATTGTCCCTATGAAAGAAGTTTTTCCCAGTATTTTTAGCCTCGTGTAGCTCGCCCACATACAATCTCATTGTTTCATGGATTTTTTTATATTTATGAGCATCTGTAGTGCCATATTTATTTGTTTCTTGATAATATCTTTTCTTTCCATATACTCATACTAAGACTAAATGCTTTCAAACAAAAGGAACTTTGACTATTTTCTATTATATCAAAGTCCCTGGAACACAGTAGTTGTGAAATAGATGTTTGTTCAAGTTAACCCTTGAAGGAGAGTAAGAGTAACTAGGCAGACAAAAGAGAGAAATTATTGCTGAGAGAATTAAGTAAGAAATGGGAAACCTTAGAAAATAAGGAGAGTATGTTGCTTGTATCAATTGCCAAATAGTTTCATGTCATCAGTGTGCAAACAGTACAGAGAACATTATAAGTAATAAAGGTAGGTCTGAATACAGGCCCCAGGAAAATCACTAAAGGACTAAAATGCACTAAAGGATATGAAGGATATATTTACAGAAATGAATAAACAGATAATATATCAGGCAATGTGACTAATTTTTCTTTAAAAAGAAGTAAATACTAATATTTCCACTGACATTTAAAAATTTAGTGATACATTTTCAAGTGAATAGAAGGCTATGAGGAGTGAACAATTTTGTGTATGAAGAGTAGTGTTAGAAATTTTTAAATCCTGGCTCAGTGCCTGTGGCTCAAGTGGCTAAGGCACCAGCCACATACACCTAAGGTGGCGAGTTCGAATCCAGCCTGGGCCTGCCAAACAACAATGATGGCTACAACCAAAAAATAGCCGAGCGTTGTGGTGGGCACCCGTGGTCCTAGCTACTTGGGAGGCAGAGGCAGGAAACTCACTTGAGCCCAGGAGTTGGAGGTTGCTGTGAGCTGTGATGCCACAGTACTCTACCCAGGGGGACAGCTTGAGGATCTGTCTCAAAAAAAAATTTAAAATCCAGGGATGGTGCCTGTGGCTCAAAGGAGTAGGACACTGGTCCCATATGCCAGAGGTGGTGGGTTCAAACCCAGCCCCAGCCAAAAACTGCAAAAAAATAAAAAATAATTTAAATCCATAAAACTCCAGCAAAATTACCACTGTGCAGAATCATCTATGGTTTTCATAAAAAATTGACAAATGAAAAACATCTCACTAATTGACATCTACAAAATTTTGGATAAAGGAAAAATTATGATACATATCTGAACTTGTTCCCTGAAAACATTTTAAACTCATATTCCAGCCCATAGTAGGTTTAA